TTCTGTTCCCGTAAAGATTTACAGCCTCGGAAACCCTGTACAGGGTCGCTATGAGTCAGAACCAACTCCACGGCACATAACAACAATAGGGTTTCTGAGGAAAGGCTGGTGAGCTTGAACCGCCGACCTTGGGGGTTGTTGTTAAGTGCTGTATAGGGTTTCTGTGAGTTTGAACTGCCAACTTTACAGTTCAAACCGGCCTTGCGGTCTAGTGGGCAGTAGGCAGGGCTGCAACCCCACGGTTCGAGGGCTCCCAGCCAGAGAAGGAAGGAGAGGCTGCCCACCCATCACAATGCTGGGGCCCTGGTAAAGGCCTCACCAGTTTGGTCCTGACCCAGACGCTTCGGGAGATCACAGACCAGGAACACAACGTTGCGGCCCTAAAGCAGGCCATCAAGGACAAGGAGGCACCCCTGAAGGTGGCTCAGACCCGCCTCTACCAGCGTTCATACCGGCCCAACGTGGAGCTGTGCCGAGATGCAGCCCAGTTCAGGTACCATCCCGGCAGTCCAAGGGTGGGCCCACCTGACCAATGGCGCCGCATCCCTGCCTCCCTGGCCTCCCTGAGGGCTCCCATGAACCCCTTGAAATGCCACACACCGCAGAGGTTTAGATAAGAGATAGCAGCGCCTCTCCCCCACAGGATCATAAACACATGAGTTCAAATACCGCATCACCCAGCAGGGTCTGACCCCAGAGAGGGGGTCAAAGGCACAGAGGGTACAGAGCAGAGAGGCTAGGGTGGGGCCATTCTGTCCACCCGCTACCTCCCTGGACAGTGTTCACACATCTGATGCCATGGGTATGACCTACGCCCCTGGATTGCAGAATAAACGGGACTTTCCTAAGTGATGGAGTGCCCAATTGCCCTTTTAAGCTAAATCTCCTTTCTTGCCCACCAATTTGTTCAAGAAACTGGGGCCAGTCATGCGTCCTTCCCAACATCAGGAGGAGAATGAATTGAGCCGCTGGTCAGCACAACACTGCCATTGCTAGGCATGACCACAAGGTGTCACTGTTGAACACGGGTCTCCCACAGACACATTTCTGTTAAGGCTCCAGAACTAAGGCCTGCTTACTAACTCTCCATTCCTAAGGGAGCTCCACCACACTACCGTGTTCCTTTGATACCCTGGCTCCAACCCAGTCTCTCCAGCGCTTTCGTTAGGGGCTCTTGACGGGAGGGGGGGGGTTATTTTTAACTGAGCATTTTGGCAGGAACTGCTCCACCTGGGCTCCCAACTTTTGAGCCTTGGATCTCACACCTCCAGGAAGGTCAGGCATCACAATGCTCTCTTCCCCGAGCTGAGCCCCAGCTCACACCTCCCTCCTCCATCACAGGCTGGTGAGCGAGGTGGAGGAACTGAACATGTCCCTCACGGCACTCAAGGAGAAGCTTCTGGAAGCGGAGCAGTCGCTTCGTAACCTGGAGGACACACGCATGAGCCTAGAGAAGGACATTGCTGTCAAGGTCAATAGCCTCTTCATTGACCGTCAGAAGTGCATGGCTCACCGTGCTCGATACCCCACCATCCTCCGGTTGGCCGGCTACCAGTGAGAAGTGTGACCTGGACACAGGGGCCAGCTGATTTCAGCTTCCCTACTCCCACAACAAACAACCTTGAATAAAAAGCATGTTAGCTTTCTGCATATAAACAGGGCTTCAGGGTGGAGAGCTGACAGGTGGACCCCATCATCTCCCCCTCGGCCCTGGGGAGACTAGGTAGGTGTCTTTGTGCCTCAGCGCACATGAGAAGCCACTCACAGGGTTGTCCAGCCTAATGCAGGGCATTTGAGGACACTGGCCCCTCTGCCCACTCGCCTAGCTAAGTCCCAGCACCCTGTCCCCCCGGTCATCTTATCAGCCCTTTTGGGCCTCCATTGCACTTCCAAGCTTGCTTTCCTTTAGGGACAGGGCGTTCACTCCACTCCCAGCCCCACTGTTATCTACTCCAACTCATAAGGACCCTATAGGATAGGAGAGAATACAATGGCTTCACAGGATTTTAAAGACGATAAATCTTTCCCTGGACGTTGCTGTGCGTTTGAACAGCCAACCTGGCCAAGGTTACGAGCTCAAACACTTAATCCACTGTGCCACCAGAGTTTCTTCACCACACCCCAAGGCCCTTCTATTGCTCGGCAGGTCTGGCAGAGGGACCTTATTCTATCTGGGTTTCTCACAGTCGTCAGCCTTGGGCCATATGGGAAGCATTGACCCATCTCTGTACCCATAGTGGGTGCCCCACTGGCTTCACACAGCCAGGGAACATGCTACTGACCCTCAGCATGGGACCAGGGAAGAGGTTCTGATAATGGCACCAGGGAGTGAGTAAGTGGGGACACATCTCCCGAGACCCAGGTCCACAAAGCTTCTTGTTTCTCTCCCCAGCCTCCCACTGTCTCCTCCCCATGGCAACCAAGTAGCAATGGTTGAGAGATGCACAGGCCCCTCCACTGACCCCACCGACCCATGCTGGTCACATACTCTGCGTTGTGTGAATGGAGAGGGTACCAAGCAGAAACTGCTGCTGAAAAAGGAGGATCCCAGGGGTGGAGGCTGATGAGAGGGATCAGGGGAGAGGCCCAGGGAAGGACTGTGAGAAGAGGCTAAAAAGGGAGAGGCCCTCCCACCCGGTGTCCCCCTGGGCCCAGCTGGCACGCTGGATGGAACCCTTTGCCCAACCCAACTCTTCTCTAGTACCCTGGTCTCAGCCAGCGGGAAACCTCTGCTGGGAGGCCCAATGCCACCCAGACTTGCCTTTCCACGCTTGGACTCTAGAGGGAGATGTAGCCTTGAGAGGAGAGTAAGTCACCCAGACTGGATAGGGCTGGAATTCGGGAGAGAGCTGGATGGGAGCAAATGAGGACTGGATGGCATCCTGGAGTCAGCAGCCTGGGCTCTGGAGGGTCAGTTTCTTACCCTGTTGCCACAGCCAAGTCCTCTGCTCACTGGAATTTCAAGACTTGGGCTAGTTAAACCTAGTGGGAGAAGGAGAGAGGGAAGAGGATGGAGGGAAGGAGGAAGAGGGGACAGAGGAAAAGGGAACGAAGAAGAGGGGGAAGGGCCTTACCCTTTCCAGAGCCTCTCCCCACACCCATCCCCCTCAAGCCAAGGAGTGAATCATGGGCTGGGTGGGGGTAGAGGCCTCAGCATCAGCCCCCACCCCTGCCACCTCTAGGCTCAGCAGGAATGTGCCATCTCCCAAGCCTTGGGCACAAGGCCTGGAAAGGGGTGTTGGTGAGGCCCCCGCTGTGCCCACCCCCATGCCCTGGACAGCCAGCTCATCAGAAGGACTCATTCAGAGGAGTGTCCATTAAGAGACTGCAGATAGTCACTCAAGCCCCATTATCACCGCGGCCACGCACAGCCTCCTGTCTGTACGCACGGCCTCTCAGTCTAGAGTGCTGAGCCGAGTGGACTAAGTGCTCAGGGCAGGGGGCTCCATGGGAAGCCTTCAGCACATGCATTCGGTCTCATAACTGCCTAACCTCCTCACAGTCCCGGGGGTCTTGGCCTGGAGGGCTGACGTGGCCCCAGGGAGATTAGCTTCCATCCGGAGTTCCTGTCCTATTCAGCTACATCTCCAGTGGCCACTCCAGTCTAGGTGAGTCTGAGGCAGCTGCTCCTGGGGGGTATTAGTCCCCCCAGGGGGCAAGCAGAGGGGCAGAAGGATAGTGAAGCAGTGACCCCCCCCCCAGCTGGCTAACTGCACCCCTTTATTTGCCCTTGGAGCAACCACGCTCCGCCCCACGCTACCTGGAATCTCTGACCTCATTGGGCTTCACATCATAACAACCAGGGAGCTTTGTCTCCCTGCCACCCCTGAGGAGTTCATTCCACAGGTGAAGAAGCTGAGGCTCAGAGCCAAGTGCCAAGAGAGCCTGGGCGTCCAACTGTCTGTCTTTGCAAGCCCAGGGGGTTCTATCTAGCCCTTCTCAAAACCAAAACTTTGGGTACATTCGGAGGTGGTTTGCTGTTTTCACTGGGAGATACCATTTACCAGCCGGGAGGCAAGCGACCACCAGGGTGAAGGACCACAGGCTCCAGTGGCCCCTGAATCACCCCCACCCCCATGCACTTTCCCTTCCTCATTGGACACGGCCCCCGAGGCAGCAGAAATAACCACAGAGGCGCCCTGAGCAGACACAGGTCCAAGCAACAGTTAATTGGAATCTGTGTTGAGCTGGCTGCAGATGGCAGCAGACCAAGTCTGGTGTAAGCTGTCATCACTGGGCCTGAGACAGTGTCCTGGAGCTGCCCCCACCCCCACCCCCAGTCCTGACTACAGGGACCATCCTTGGTCTCCTGCCCTGGGCCCTGCATGTGGTCCTCCTCTCCCATCACAATCCTGCAAATGCAGGGGAAAGCCAAGCTAGTGTGGGGAGCTGGACCCCAAGATGGGAGGACATTCTGGTCACCAGGTTGGTGAGCGGTCAGCTGGCACAGATGGTAGCACTAGCCCCTACCCCCATCCTTTTACCTCCAGCCCACTCCCCTGTTACTCTGGCCTTCCTGACTTCCCCTGGGCACCCCACACTGGGTAGCAGTCTCCGTTTCTGCTGCCAGGAGGTCGTGCCATCCCTCAGCTCTGCCAGCCCCAGACATACCCCAGACCCCAGACTCAGGCACAGTGTCTGGACAGAGTCAGGCAAATCCCTTGGCAGGCAGGGTACCCAGTGAAGCCGCCTGTCTGTTGGTCTTGGATTGCCCAGGGGAAACCGTGGGCGCCGAGCAGCATGAAAGGGCTCTTTCAGGGGTGCGTGCTGGGCATCAGTACACAGCCGGTAATGGCAGGAGGGGTCTCCACAGCCACCCTGGGTAAGCTGGGCTTCAGAGTCTCTGCTCCTCCAGTCATGGGGCAGCAGGTAGGGTGGGGCTTTGGGTATGCACCACCATGACCCCTGGAGGTCCCAGACTCTGCATACCTATACCTGGGCTGGTGCTCACTGGTGACTTCCTCCCTGCCCAGGCCTGACCCAGCCTGGACTGTGTGGCTAGGGCTCCGGGCAGGGCTCTCCCTCCTCAGACCCTTACCTCCCCTTCCCCTCCTCCCTCTCCCTCCCTTCCCTTCCTTTGTCTCCTCTACCCTCCGGCAGGACAGACTCCCCCCATGATGGCAGTCCCTATCCTCGTGTTCCTGGTGCTGGTCCTGTCCTCGGAAGCCTGGCCAGGTCTAGGGCTGTCCCGGAGGCCATGTGTCCACTGTTGTCACCCCGCCTGGACCCCAGCCACTGCCCCTAACCCATATGCCCCAAGAAGAGGAGCTGAGCTGCCCCGGGTGCGTGCCAACATCGACATCACCATCCTCAAAGGTGGGAGTGCCTGGGGGTGGGGGGCTGCGGTCCCACCCTGCTGAGGTGGCATCATTGTGACAGGGCCTGGGCAAGGAGGACAGGGGGACAGATGGGAGCAGTCCTGGGACCCCACATGCAGGGGCCCTGGTGACCCAGACTCAGACCATGGTGGGGCATTCAGGCATGAATAATCCTACCTTGGGGGGAACCAGCCAGAATAAAGGTGGTCAGTCCTCCACCACTATTCACCCCCATGCCCAGCAGGGAGCCAGCTGGCCTGAAAGAAGCTGCTGTCCATCCTATCTGTCCAGAATGACCCCTGGTCACCCTACCTCAGGACCAGGGGACCCAGGGACCCTGAGATCCCCAAAGCAACCTTCTTGGGAGAGGAGAACACTTGGTGCTTAGGTCAGACTTGGGCTAGAGCTTCGCATCCTGCCATGCTCTCCTTGGTGGGGGGCAGAGGGGGAGGGATTAATAACCGCCCCCCCAGATAAGAACCTTGCAGCTCCGAGAGGCATGGTTCCCTGCAGGGCCCCAGGGTCAGTCAGGCTGACCCAGTAGCACCTGGAAAGACTCAGGGGCCCAGGAGGACTGACCCAGCTCTGACATGTAACTTCCCCTGCAGGACAAAAGGGTGAGCCAGGCACCAGAGGCCACTCCGGGCTGAGTGGACAAGAGGGCCCCCCGGGTCTCCGGGGCTTCCAGGGCCTCCAGGGCCAGAAGGGGCAGAGAGGGCCACCAGGTGCCCCGTGCCAGCGCACCTATGCGGCCTTCTCAGTGGGCCGCCACCAGGGGTTGCATAGTACCAGCAGAACACAGGCTGTGCCCTTCGACACGGAGCTAGTGAACCTCGGTGGTGCCTTCGACCTGGCCACCGGCCGCTTCCTGTGTGCGGAGCCGGGCATCTACTTCTTGACCCTCACGGTGCACACCTGGAACTACAAAGAGACCTATCTGCACGTGATGCGGAACCGGCAGCCTGTAGTGGTGCTGTATGCCCAGCCCAGCGAGCGCAGCCTCATGCAGAGCCAGAGCCTGTTGCTGATGCTGGCTGTTGGCGACACAATCTGGGTGCGTCAGTTCCATCGTGACCGTGACAACGCCATTTATGGTGAGCCAGGGGACCTGTACATCACCTTCAGTGGCCACCTAGTCAAGCCAGATGCTGAGCTGTAGCCGCTGCCCAAAGGCATCATCCCCAGTCCCCAGCAGGCAGCCCGACACCCCCACTAGGTGCAGGATTCTAGTCCTGACTATGTGTGGGGCTCCGGTTGGAAGACAGCTAAGGCCTGCCTTGGGGGAGACAGACAGAATGTGAGATGGGATGGGGGGCGGGGGGCACTGGTGGAGGCAGTTCCTCTACTTATAAAGATTGAATCAGGCAGCGCTTTGGTTCCGGTCTTTTTGCACCGGGAGCTCATTGCTGGCCCAGGCCAGCACACTGCAGAGCCCATCCTACAGGACCCCGGAAACCCCGTGGGGTGTCCAAGGCCATAAACCTTCATGGAGGCAGATGGTCACATCTGTCTCCCCAAGAGTGGCTGGTTCAAACCACTGCCCTTGTGGCCAGTAGGCAAGCGTTTTAACCATGATGCCACCAAGGCTGTATTTCTGCTGCTGAGTGTCGTGGAGTTGATTCTGACTCATAGCAACCCTGTATAGGGTATCCAAGGAGCAACTGGGGGGTTTGAACCGCTGACCTTGTGATTAGCAGTCCAATGCTTACTCTACAGTGCCACATCAGGACTCCAGTGGGGTTAGAAAGTGCCACAGAGACCCAGGGACAGGCAGGGTGGGGGTCAACATAGGCTGCCTGTCTAGGGCACATTGTGGGGGGAGGCACATCTGTTGGCATCAGCAGCCCCCACAGTGTGTCCTACAATTGGATGTGGCTTAAAGTCAGGGCAAAAGGAGACATAGCTGGGGAGCAAAATGGGGTCCCCTTAGCAGGGTGGGTGGGCCCCCTGCAGAGGGACAAGCTCAAATCCTGGGCTGCCTCCATCCACTCTCACTCACTAAGGCAGCCTCAACCTGACTCTCCTGGCCATCCTCGCCCCCAATACTTACACCCCTCCTCCTGTCCCCTCGTCCCCCTTGTCCTCCCTGGGCCCCTCCCTGACAGCAATGAAAGCAGTGTCCGAAGTCCCTAGAACCTGGCAGAGCTGGCTGATACCCGGGCCCCGAGGTCATGCTGAAATGACCAGACAGGAGAGCTCAGAGTCTAGGGAGCACACTGTCCCCTCAGCCCCACTCCCTGCCTGGACACTGCACCCCATTGTGCCTGGGGGAGATATGGCCACTGGGAGCTTCTCGGTCAGCTGATTAGAGAAGAGGAGGAGTTGTAGGAACTCAGGAAGGGGTGGGGTCCTCTCTCCACTCAAGTGGGCACTGGGTATCCCCGACACTCCCCTCTTGGAGGACACAGGGACTCTTGTCCCTGAGGAGGGTGCTCAATTCTCATTCACTGAGGGGCTACGAGGGTCCAACCATGGTGGACACCATCTCAGGTGATGCCCCTGCCCTGCCCTGCCCTGTCCAGCGTGGGGTCAAAAGGGTTGCTCTGGGTACAAGACCCTCCTGTAACCCCAGTAGACCTTCCCCCCTTCTGGTGAGCCCCAGGGGGTGAGTTTCTGTGCTGTCTGGGGGTCCCTGGCTCCAGTTCCTCACAGGTCCTGTGCTGGGCCCCAGAGCTTCTGGAGAGCAGGACTCAACCCAGACAGAGAGAGGGGGCTGGGGTTAGGCAGGGGCTGTGCTGGGAGACATGGAGCAAGGGGAAACCGGGCCCAGATGAGGGACTCACAGGACCACTGAGCTTGTGGGGGCAGACGATCACCTTGATGAAGCCCGAAGTTCTGGTGTGGCACTCTAGAATAAACACTGGACTATTAACCACAAGGTCAGCAGTTCAAACCCACCAGCTGATGCTCAGAAACCCTATATGAGTTGAAACATACTTAACCACAACAAAGGCTGGAAGGAATGCGCCGCAGGGATGGGGGGTGGGGAGGAAAGGAGGCCTTTGGCCCAGTGGAAATGCAGTTCTGAGGTCCTGGAGGACCCTACCACACCCAGACTGCCCTTCGCCCCACCAGCCTGGTTGGAATTGCTGGGCCGTGCCAGGGTGCCCAGCAACCAACAGGCAAGCTGGAGTCACTTCCGAGCACTAATGGGGGCCTTTGTGGCAGACGGCTCCCCCAAGAGATAACGGTGCCCCAACAGGAAGTGAGGCCCAAGGGGTGGGGCAGGGTGGGGAGAACTGACCTCTGGGGCCCTGGCCCCCATTGGCCACGCCCGTGAGCTGAAGGCCAGCCCACCTGGGGGGAACCAGGTGTCCTTGGCCACATTTGCTCAACTTCTCTGAAAACATCCTTGAGCAGGTGAGGTCCTCCTGCCGTAGTTACATGTAGGGACCAAGAGCGAACCAGTGTCCTACAGGGATGCCAGGGACCCATGCTGCTCAGAAAATGCTCAGCATCAGGCCGGGCAGGTGGGCCACAGCGGGATGTTGCTGAGGATAACTTTTACCACTGGACACTTGCCAAGAAGAGTACAGCCCTCGGCACGGACAGCTCCAGAGAAGGACCCCTGGCTTCTAAATGTTCAGGGCTCCAGGACACTCTGGGAGAGCCCCAGGGGTGCTTCCAGGGTGGGGGTCCAGGACAACGCAGCAGTGACCACCCCCCCAGGCTCATTTATTTTAAAAAAAAAAAAACAATAAAAATGGGGGAAGGAAGACACACAGTCGTGTCTCTGCAGTGACCCCCTCTGCTCAGAAGCCAGGAGACTCATCCCAAGTGCCTGTTGGGGGCACTAAAGGTACCCCAATAATAAGAGCACCCCGATAAGGAGCTGCAGACCCAGGGATCAGTGAGCTCTGCCGCTAAGGGGTTCATTCACCCCAATGAAGTAGCAACTTCAAACCACCCACCTGGGACTTGAATTCACTCAGGAAAGCAGAAGTATGGTTTAAAACAGACAGAGAGAAACAATGTCAACAAAATATAAGCCAGCTTCCATGGAAGTGATTCTAGCTCTCAGCAGCTCTGTGTGTCCGAGAGGAACCGTGTTCCATCAGGTCTCCAAGCCTTTCTTCCGAGGTGTCTGTGGATGGACTCAGACTTGACTTGTACCATGGAGTCAGCTTCGACTCATAGCGACCCTGCACAGGGTTTCTGAGGCTTAACATCTTCATGGGAGCAGAGAGCCTCATCTGTTTCCCAGGGAGCAGCTGGGGGGCTTGAACCAAACATTGTGGTTCGCAGTCCAGTGTTTATCAGATGGAGCCACCAGGCTTCCTGAAACTTGTCTACATGGATGTATTTGCAGCACATACAAATCTGTACATGAACATGGGTGTAGCCCTGTTCACTTAGCTGTATCTACCCCCCACCCAGGTCACCTGTGCAAAGCGTCTTCGGGAGACCATCAGAGGCCTTGTGGTTAAGTGCTGTTGAGTCCGTTTTGACTCACAGCGACCCTGTACAGGGTTTCCCAGGAGCGGCTAGTGGATATGAACTGCCGACCTTGTGGTTCTCAGTCCAGTGCTGACCCCACAACGCCACAGCACGAATCCATCAGAGGCCTTAGCAGCCAGTAAACCATCCATCCAAGGCCTCAGTCACTGCCACCACACACACCCCACAAGTAGGTTGGCTCTGCCCACTCCACGTGACTCCCCACAACACTAGCACCCCACAGTCCCAGCCCCATTCAAGGATGTTGACTCTGGGAGTGGACAGGCCTCAGAACCCTTGTACCACATCCATCTGAGCAGGACCCCAAGTCCTCCCAAGTCTCATCCCCCCTCTCAGAGTCCTGTCTTCAATGCCTGTGTCTTTGGGGACCGTCCAGGTCCTCAGCTCTTGCCCTAAAGTAGGTCCCCTCAGTCCATCACTCCACATCTCTGTCCTCCACGTCCTCGAGCGGGACCCAGGCTACCACTGATGCCCCATCCTCCAGCCCACTTGGAAGCCCCTCTGGCCCCCGTCCCCCTCCTCACCTGGGGCCCGGCCATGGCCTTCACAGCCTCAGTGCAGACCAACTGTGTTCAGTCTCTTCCCTTCTCTGATCCTGTCACTTCCCCTGAGCTGGGAGCACCTGCAGTCTGGGGAGAAGCCACCTGTGCAGGGCTGGGGGCCTGGGTTTGGTCAGCAGCCCTCTCCTGCCCCCCATCCCTGTCCATCACCACGGTTACGATGACTTTCTGCCTCTGAGCTTTGGCATACTCCTTTCCCTCTGCCTGGAGCACTGTTCCAGCCCCACTCTGGGTCCCTTTAACCCAGTCTATGCTGAACACACAGTAGGGACACCTCATCGTTTGCTCACTGAAGGAAGCATATGTTCTGTTTTCAGGGGTCTGCCAAGCTCGGGGAATGTGGGCAACAAGGTGGGCTTGTCCCCATTGTCAAAAGTAAGGGTCAGCAGAAGTATGGAGGGGGTACAGGCAGTGGGGAGCTGGTGAGACTAAGAGGCAGGGTGTGAAGGGCTCAAAAGGGGGACTGGGGTGGTGAGGGGGTGTCTTCTGGGAGGGGACGGAGCAGGTTGAGGGGAGCAGCGCTGGGTGTCTACCACAGTCTGAAGAGTCTTCAGATGGGAACTCCCTACCCACAAGGCCTTGCAGCAGCAGGACATCTACTTTGGGGGAGGGAGCACCTTGCCCGGTCCTGGGAGCCCTGTACCTGGGAAGTGGGCCTTCACCCCTCATAGTGATCCCTCATAGTAATCCCTCATGGTGACCCCATTACTAAACGTGCCTGGGACCCAGTAGGGAGCCCGCTTCCCTCCTCTGGCCACCCCAGGCCCATCTTCACCCCATCTCTGTGGGAGTAGGAGCTGACTGCCCACAACAAAGATGGCCTGCCCATAGCCTTCTGTCCCCTCCTCTGGGGGACTCTGCAGGTTCTGGGGGCTGTCCTAGGGGAGCTGAATATTCGAGACCTTGGATGGGGGTCTCCCTGAGTATCCTGGGAACTTTAGAGGACAGGAAGTGGGGAGAAAGGGGAGCAGCACCCAGTGGGTGGGCAGGCAGGGCGTGTCTGGCAAATTTCACAAGGAGGACGACCAGGGTAGGAGTCCATCATGTGGTCAGTCATGGGTGGCAGGCATTTCCTAGACTGTCTGGCGATTGCTGGAGTGCGGACCAGACAGCCTCTGTCTGCCTCTTATGATTGCTCCGGAAGCTTCTAGAAAGATGTAGGCAACCACCAAGAAGCATGTTCAAACTAAGTCACTAAGTCAGAGCCGGTATTTCCCGCCAGCCTCAGCCTCCCCTGTAAAGGGGCCCCCGTACTTTCTCTGTGGATAGGTTACCCCTTCCATGTCCTCGCTTTCTCACACACACACACTCACATATACACATTCACCTATACATACTCATGTACACATTACACACATTCCCATATACTCGCATATACTATGTACATTCACACATTCATACTCCCATAGACACACACTCACATATACGCAAATACACACATTACACACATCCCCATATACTCGCATATACTATGTACATTCACACATTCATACTCCCATAGACACACACTCACATATACACACATACACACATTACACACATCCCCATATACAGTCTCATATTGTTGTTGTGAAGTGCCCTCGAGTCGATTCCAGCCCATAGCAACCCTGTATAGGGTTTCCAAGAAGCAGCTGGTGAGCTTGAACCACCAACCTTGCAGTTCAAATGACTTTGCAGTCTGATGCATTAGCCCACAGCGCCACCCCAGGACTCCTCCACACACTCCTACACACTCACACACATTCACATATACACATTCACATATTACACACATTTACATATATACACACTCGCATATACACATTCATACACACCTATACACTCTCACACTCACATGCACACATACACACTCACATATACACTCTCATGTACACACACACACAAGTCACATACACACTCTCACGTACACACATATATACACTTTCATAAACACACATGTACACACTCACATACACAACTCATTATACACACTCACATATACATACATGCATACACACACTCACATATTACACACATTCACATATACACAGTCACAAACACATACACAGTCTCACACATGCACATGCCTACACCCACGTTCACATGCACTTACATTCACACACATACCCTGTACACATGTACACCCATATTCATGCACACACTTTATTACACACACATGGACACAGGAGTCCACTGGCCCTTTTGTGGTCTGACATCCTCCTGGGGACACTGACTGGCACCGCCTTGGGGAGGAAGCTGGCAATGTGGAATCAATTGGGAGGAATTGATCGCAAGAGATTTCCGAGCCATCTGGTCTCCATCCAATTATTCCATGTGGGTGGACTTTGTGTCCAAATCCAGAGGTATGGTGGCGGCGGGAGGGGGGAGGCATTGTAGGGTAGGGGACATGGCAGAGTGGGAGGGTGGTGAGGCAGCCTCCTGGGATACTGGCAGTGACAGGTGGGTGTGTTCCAGCTCCTCGGACCCTGGCAGAACCTCCCTGAGGCATGGGGGCCATAAGAGCCCCACAGGAGTGTTTGTGAGTGTCCTCTACCCATGCCTTACCTGGGTCTCGGAAGGAGCAAAGTCTCCCCCCACTCAGTCCCATGGGTCCTAGACCCCGCACCCCAGGAAGCAGAATGGCAGCTCAGGATGGATAAGTCCCTGTTTCAAACCCTGTACCCAACTGCCCTTCACCGTCCATAACTATGCTACCCCGCGGCGCAGCCAACCTTGTCTTAGCTCAGCTAAGGAGCCAGGGAGGAGTCACTTATGCTGGACTTCCATCCTCGAAAGAAAACCCGGGCCGTTGACTTCATTTGGCCCCAAAAATGATGCTTGTTTCAGAGCACATCAAACCCTTCTCATTTATTCGGGAGCACAGACAGGGTCGTCAGACACCGGCGTTCTCCTTGCAGACATTTTGCAGAGTCCTGGGCCTGCACACCTTGCCTATGACATCTCTGGATGCTCTCCTGGGGGATCCAGACTCTGCTCTGAGGAGACTAAGACAGGGAAGGTCAGACAGGCCCAGGGGTCCTGCAGGGGTAGGGTAGGGGGTGCTTAGCACAAGGGGCTAGGACCATGTATGTGGCTGGGGGTAGAATTCCTTGGGGCCTGGCATTTGCTGGTATTTGCTGGCACACGCCCACACAGGCAGATGCTGCGTTTCCCAGGGTTTACCATTTGCTGTTTGTGTCGGGAGGGGTTCCCCTTGCTGTCTGGATTTTTCTCTTTGGCACCTGACAACCCCCATCCCCAGCAGGAGAAAGACCCCTCTCAGGTCTTTCTATTGCCTCTCGGCCTAAGATCTAAACTTCAGCTGGCTGGGAACCTCTCTGCATGGGTACCCTTCTCCCCAGGGCCAGAGTCCATCCCAGCATGGACTTGTCCATGCCCCCTGTGTGGCTGCCCTGCTGCCTCACCCTACCCCATGGCCACCAGCCTTCCACCTCCAATCCACCCTTCACTCCCCTCACTCCTGGGACCGTGGCTGTGGCCAGGCAGGAGAGGGGGATCCTGGTCCAGCTCGCTCACTTCACACCTGCCCACTCTAAACATCAGACGATCACAGAGCTTGGGAGGGAAGCTGGGGCTGCCGTCTGGCCTGGAAGTATCATGGGTGGGTGAGTAGTGACGGACAAGAGGCTCAAGTCCAAGTAGATCCGAGTGGATTGGGGGCATCTTTAATGTCTCCAAGGAGGAGCACATGCAGGACCCCAGGGCAGGGATGGATTAACACAGCAGCACTGCAGAGCCCCTGCCTGGACAATCCCACAGCCCACTCCCCAGGAGGACTCTGTCCCCCAGCAGAAGCTGACCCCTGCGTAGCATCCACTCGAGACCTTGCTCAGGACAGCCCACCAGCTTCATGTCACACCTGCCGGCCAGAGGGAGGCACCTCAGTACACCCCCAGAGTCTTGGGGTGCCTCTGTTCCTCAAGAAATCCAGAGGGTCCCCCCGCATGCCCCCCATGGCTCTCACAGTGTGCTGGTTTGCATGTGCCCATTGGCCTGGGGGCTGCGCCCGGGCAGCGAGGACTCCTGTAGTCGGCTGCTCTTGTCAAGCCTTGGTTCAGTGAGGTCCCCCTCCTCTGCTCCAGACCTCTTTTGGAGGCACAGAACCTTCCGGAAGCTCTGCCGAAAGTTGTCAGAGAGGAATCCATAGAGGATGGGGTTGGCACAGCTGTTAGCGTAGGAGAGGATGACCACAAAGAAGTAGATGCCGGCGGAGGCGGGCTCCTCGGGCAGGATGAAGGCCAGGTTGACGATGTTGACGATGAAGAAAGGCAGCCAACAGCCCACAAACACCAGCACCACCACCACCACCATTCGGGTCACCTTGCGTTCGGACCGCCGCCGCCGTGTGCAGCCCACACGCACGCCCGAGGCCTTTACCTTGACCACAATGAGCAAGTAGCACAGGCAAATGACCAGCAGTGGCCCGAAGAAGCCCAGCACAGAGGTGTAAATGATGAAGATGGCTCCCCAGAGCCCCACAGGCTCCGGCCAACTGAGGTTACACGTGTCCCAGCCCTCCTGAATGTCGGCAAAGATCACCAAGGGTAACGACATGAGCAGCGAGAAGGTCCAGACGGCCGCGCTGGTGAGCTTCGCCACACGTGGCTGGCGCCACCTGGTGGAACGAATGGGATGCACCACAGCCAGGTAGCGGTCGACGCTCATGACCGTCAGACAGAAGATGCTGGTGAACTGGTTGATGCCATCCAGTGTCATGACCAGGCGGCACAGCAAAGAGCCGAAAGGCCAGTAGGACACGGCATTTTGAGTGGCCAGAAAGGGTAGCCCCAGCATGAAGAGGACATCGGCCACGGCAAGGTTGAGAATGTAGATGTTGGTGACCGTCTTCATCTTGGCGTAGCGGACCACTACGTAGATGACTAGCGCATTGCCGCTCAGGCCCACAGCGCACACCAGCAGGTAGAGTACCGGGACTAGGACCGCCCGGGCCCCGGGTGATCCCACTGGACCGATCAGTGTCTCGTTCTCACCATCCCCAGGGGCCACCAGGGAGGCATTCCAGCCAGCCGGCCCGAGGGTGGAGGCCGTGGAGAACAGAGGTTCCATCACTGAAGGTCTGCTGACGTCTGCGGGGAGGACAGGAGGATGAGAAGGGCCAGAGTGGCTCGGGATCCGCCTCCACCCAGCTGTCCCCGTCCGCAGCAGAGGGTAAACACAATTAGTTCACCTCTTCCGGAATCACATTAAGCAAATTGTTTGGAAAACAAACTGGGAGAAAGGAGCAGACCGTCTGCCATGGGGGCAGCAGGTGGGGCAGCCTCCGGTGCAGAGATGTCTGTGCATACTGCTGCCATCGTGGGCCTGCCCCTGGCCACTCCACCCCCCTGCCCGATGGCTCCCCTGCTTGCTGAAGACCCCTACTGGGTAGGGGCAAAGTGAGTGAGAGTGGGAAAAGGAAGCTGAGACATTGCCGGACACAAAAAGCCCCTTGCAGCCTGACTGCCCAAGCAGGAAGTGTAACACTGCCCCTCAGCTAATGGGCTCCCTTGAGGGGTCCCTTCTGAGACCATGAGGAGGGTGGTGGGTCTTCTCTCAGTCCTGAGTTGCTGGACCTCAGGCTGACTGGTGAGAGCCAGTCACACCAGAACCACAGAACGGGACCGTATGGTCTTCAAATAAGTCACTAGTCCTCATGGAAGGTGAATCCATTTCAGATACAATGAAAACAGGAAGACTTAGATGTGTCTAAACAAGCTTCCTGTTGTTAAGTGCTATCGAGTCTAAATAAGCTTAAAGTGCTCAAATGAGGCACAGATGAAAATACAATGAAATCAACTTGGCCCAAGAAGTAACATGAACATGTGTCTATTTTTTTTAGTTACAAATCTCAGGTGTGAAATAACACAACCCTTTATACAAAAGACACACAAGTCAAGATCGACCCTCATATGAATAGAGTTGAAAAGAGAATCAGTGAATTGGAAAATCAGCTGAAGCATCTCCAGGAACAAGATGTGAAAGTCAGAAGAATATGAGGGCCGTGATGAAGTAAAAAGGAGACAGCATCGTTGTCTTAGCTTTAAGCACGAGGAGAAGATCCTACAAAACACTCACCAAGGAGAAAACACAGACAGAAAACCAGCCCAAAGTCCATTAGCAGATAGAAGGTCAGAAACCAGCATGTCCAGTGCCAGTCACTGAGGAGAACGCTGCTGACCCTAGACCCCCACCCTGTGGTACACTGCTCACCATTGTGAGGGGCGGACAGACAGCACTTTTCTTGTGCTGAATTTAGGGTTCCCAATGTCCAACTCCCTTGCTAATATGCTGTGATCTGTTGGAGGTGTGTGGCCTAAATCCCATTTTAAAATAAGATCCAGGTAGTGATTTGGACTGGTTTTCTGCACCTCACTGGACTCTCTCTCTTATTCCCCCTACCCTACCTTGACTCTAGGAGAGATGTGGGACTCAGGTGGAGTCACAGTTGTCCATTCGGTTTGGTCAGTGTGGCACCCAGCTTCGGAGGGAGACCTCAGATGAGTCCGTCAAGTGTGGATCCCAGGGAGACTGGAGGCTCTTGGCTGTGGGCAGAGAGCAGACTTCCGAGCTAGGCCCAGAGTTTGGTGAACAGGGACCCCTCACATACTTTTAAAGGAAGGACAAGTTGTCCTGCAGGTAAGAAAGGCGCTCCAGAAGGCCAGGGAATGGTGTGGAGACAGTTCACCCACCTGGAGACAGGTGGGCTCTGGGGGTTTCTACGTAAAGAGGTTCCATTTCAGATCCCTACACATACAAAAAAACAAATACCCAAGAAGGCACTCTCTTAACCCAACCCTGGTGGGACCCAAGGGGGCCTGGGTGGAGCCGAGGAAAGGCTCGAACCACCTCCCGAAGGAGTCCTGAGTGTTTGGTTGGAAATTCAATCATTGCTGTCCAAGAAGCCAGCCCTAGTGCCCCAGGACTCAGGGTGGACTGAGCAGACTGCCATCCCCTCCCCTCAAGCACCTTAACTCCCAGGCTAGACTCAGTGGTGATGAACAAAAATAGGTCGTTAGAACCGCGCCCGCCTCTCAGAACATAATTCCGCAAGAACCATTATTTGGAAGCGGTAATATTCTTAGTCACAGAAATTACACACTCAGGAAAATTGCTCCCAGGGTCATAACGGGAGGGAGGGAGAGGAGTCTGTGAAAGCCACCATGCACCTATAGTTGGGACCCCTACCTGAAAGAACAGGCCCAGCCAGGCTCTGGCCACCCATTCTGTGTCTCCGGGACTGACTGCTCCCCAATCCCACACACTACCCATGTGACCTTGGGTAAATTCCTCCTCTCCTCTGTGGACTGACCTCCTGGCCATAGTGACCACTGACAAGCTTCCTGGGCCCCCTTCCTAGTCTGCAGAGGTTGGGGATAGTGGTAACATGCCTTGATGGGGTGATCCCCAAAAGCCCCAGAGGGGGGAGGCCTAGCTGGCTGCCCCTCTTCACACACTCCCTTGTCCCTCAGGCTGCCTGTGGCTGGGCAGTGTCCCTGCCCAGGAGCAGTTGAGTCTCTTGGGCTGGCCTGGCCTAGGGGGTAGAGAGAAAGGGGCTCCCTTCAGGGTCTCAGTCCAGGGCCTGTGCCCACTCCACTGTGGTCATCCATGTGATTACACAACTCTGTCAGGAGGCCCCCAGTATTGTGAGCCCATCATGGAAGGCTCAGGAGTACCCACAAGAGGTTCAACTTGGAGGAGCAGAGATCTTGGCATCCTTCTTCCTGAGGTACCCAGGCCCCTGGCAGGAGCAGGCAAGTAAGGGCACCTCACGGGTATGAATGAGGCAAGGATGCACGTAAGGTAGCGGGGAGATGGATCCCCCAAACCTCCCACACTTCGATTCCCAGAGGGCAGGGTGGCTTCTGGCCCAGGGTAGGGGACACCCCAGAAACCCAGTCACCTCCTTTTCCAAAGGGCTCCCTGAATCTCCCCGTCCTCCCCAGCTCCCCCCTCCTCCACCTCAGTTCCCACCACAGGGGGGTTGGGAGCAGCAGTGTGGACGGAATGTCCCCCTGTGGCTTCCTCTTCCCAGGGCCCCAGAGGCTCATGTATACCGGGTCAAGGAGGGCAACCAGTAAGCAAGATGGAGCGGGGGGTGGGGGTGGGGGTGGGATCTGGAGTGGTGGAGGCTGGGGAGGGGACAGAAGGGAAACGGTACAGCGGGCAGCAGGTGACCCGCCGATTCCCTGGGGGTGGTGTAGGAAGGACGCGCTGTAGGCTGGGTAGTACGTTTACGGAGACCCCCGGAGAAGCGGCGCGCGGGGGACCGCGAGGACGGGGGAGTGGGACGCAGGGATGCGGGACAGAGGGCAGCAGCGGCCTCACCTGGGTGGCAGCTCCCGGTCCCCAGAGCTGGTGTCCGCGCTGCGCTCCCGGGGGCGCAGGAGCCGCGGGGAGGCGGCGGAGCGGGGCGGGGCGAGTGGGGAGGGGCGGGATCACAGCCACCCAGGCGGGCGGGGCGGGGAGGGGGCGCTCCGAGGACCCTGGCCCCAACCTGCTGGCACAGCGACAACCCCATGAGTGCAGCCCTCTTCCCCAAGCCTGCACCGCCTACTGCCCTGGGGCTCAGGCGCCCACTGCAGGGCACCGTGGGACTGCCGGTTCGGTGTGAGTCACTACTTCTGCCCAGGAGCGCCCCCCTGCCTACCCCGTACACCTGGGCTCCTTTGGGAAAGACCTCTGAGGCTCCGGGCAGTTCCACTAAAGACATTCGGTCAGGGTGTGGGTGTATGTGGGGGGCAGAGGGGGACAGGGTGAGGCTCTGGAGCGGATCAGCACCCAGCTTGTGCCCAAAAGTTGGTGAGAGGTGGTTGTTGGTGTCAGGTGCCTCCAGTGCACAGCGGAAGGGGACCCCACGTGACTCTGTCCTCACATTTGCGGTCTCTGTGTTAGTCCATCTGACTGAAGGTCTTCCTCTGGAGATGGTCCTCGGTTCAGGAAGTCACTAGCTACCCTCACCTGTCATCTTGCATCCTAGAAGGTTCTCCACCCCACACTGTGCTCGGTGCCTGGAATGATGCCAGACACCCCACAGCAGGAAACATGGATCCGAAAGTGGAAAACAGTTTCCCTGAGGTCTGACGTTCCTTGGGCTCCAGGCTCCCTTTGTCTGCATGCTGAGACCCACCCCCATGAGTGATGGTGACCAACGGTTTTGCTGGAGCAGAAATGAAGCCAGAGCTGACATGTGTCTTGCTGTGTGGCACAGAGGTTCCAGGGAAACTTGAAACCCACAGGGGCCATGCCTACTGTCCTTGTCAGGTCCCTGAGCTCAGCATGTACGCAGAGAGAGAAATAATAAAAACACAACCCAAAACGGAGGACACCTCAGCTTATGATGTCCACTAGCAAGGAAAGACTCGGGGTGACCAGGAAGTCACCCCCACTGTGGAGGATCAGGCTGGGTAAAGTCTTACTAGGGACGCTCCACAGAGCTCCTGCCTGGCGCCATGGCAACGGGGCTGGCCTCCCAACTCCCCACAGACCGACCCAGACCCCTCTTAGGGGACCACTGTCCTAGGGTGCTGACCCTGCATGGTTTTTTTCAGAGATTGAGACCAGCGGCTGTAGAATATGAAGCCTGTGCCCCTCTTCCCTGTACCACCCCCCTTTGCTACCCTCATCCCGCCCAGAGCAGGCCACCATGATTATTCAAAAGCTGCTTCTAGTTCACCTGGAGCTACCTGGGGCCTCCAGTCTGTGTCCCCATGAAGGTCCCCAGAGGGGGTGGGGACCGGGGGTGGTGAGGACAGCGTGTGATACTGTGTTCTCCAGCCACCAAGTCTCTGCCCTGGCTGGGCCACCACCTCCTCTCCCCCAACTTAAATGCCCCCTCCTCCAGGAAGCTTTCTTTGGCTCTTCCTTCAGCTGACCACACTCTCTGTCTTGGTGGCAGGACAAGTGGACGTGGATGAGTCCCTGCAAATACAGTTGCTAGCTGCTGCATCCCAGGTCTGCCACACACTCCCTGCCCCCAGCTGGTGGGGCACAGTGCCACCACGGCCCACCACCACCATGAGCCCTCCCCAGTTGGGCGGCCGTGTCAGGGAGGTGTTGGGAAGAGACAG